ACGTATATACATTGTAATTTCATGCGTTATTTTACTCGCAGAGCGACAACGGGACGGAAATCAACAAAACCCTCAACAACATGCATTGGTTGGGCTTTGATAAGTCGGATGAAGTAGGTCGATCGGTCCCAAGCTTGGTCAAGTGGAACATAATCTACATTCTAGTAGTAACCCTCTACTCGGTTATTTTAGTGCGGCAATTCAACTATCGCATAGCCAGAGGCAAACCGACCACAAGGGCGTTTTTCATGTTTCCCCGAATCACCAGATCTGATGCTGATAAAAGCCTGAAGAACATGCTGAAGTATTTGGCCAATTATGCGTATTTTAAATTTGGCGTGGAGGTAAACTCCTGAAACTCCAAGCTAAAACGTCTGGGAATAATGAGTAAACTTTCAGATAAGTTTCTTGGCGACAGTTGCGGTGATTGCCATTAGGATGGATCTTTATGCGATGTTTTACAGCATCTGGCTGGTGATTTTGTACTCATTGAAGAGAAGCACACTGTCAAAAGTATGGATTTTCTACGTGCTGTTCACGGCCATCATGTTGCCAATACAATATTTCATGGTTATCGGCTTGCCACCCACTCTTTGCATAAGTAAGTAGGTTTTATTGTCACTGCTTTAAAGTGTTAAAATTGCCCTGTTTAGAGTATCCATGGAATTCGGACCCAACCTACATCCGCCTGCAAGAGTGGGCGTTTTTAATGAACGACAAGTTTCCACCCAATCCCAAAAGGCTAATCTGGGACTTTTTGCTCCTGTTCTTCCTGTCCAGGCAATGGGTGGTCTTTAGGATCGAAGGAAGGTATGCGGGTAAAAACTACGCAGGCGGCAGCAACGAAAGTATCATCCATTTGGCTGAGGACAGAAACTTTGTAAATCCTGTTCCGGACTTTATAACATACTGCAGGTATGCGTTTATCGTATTTGTTTTGAATTTTTTATTTTTTCGTGTTTCTCAGGTCGTACTTGGATATAGCGAAGAGATGCATCCTATGCAGCTTGTTTTACGTCACTCTAGCTGTTGTTTTCCTGGCTGGAACAAACAGGACGAATCTGTTTTCAGTCGGTTATCTCATCGGGGCGTTTCTGTTCCTCTGGGAGGGTTCTGATATGTATTTGAGACCTATCAGGGAAATAGTTAAGAAGTACGCTGTTGTTGATAATCCGATCGACTAATTGTTGCTAAATGTTTATTAATTTTTAGATGGAACTGGTTGCTTGGATACAATGTAGGCGTTATTCTCGTTAAAGCTGGTCTTCAACTAATTGGTTGCGTCTTCTTGAATGCCTATACCGGCGATTGCCATTGGCTGATGCTGTTCGGCATTGGTTGCGTAAGGAAATTCGGCAATATCGAAGATATTGCCAATTTGCCGAATACTGGCCATTGCAAAGTACCCAGAGAGTATCTGGGACTGTTTTGGGATGCCGTCTGCTTTGGCCTGTTGATCACGCAAAAACGACTGTTCCAGAGCTACAATTTCTTCCATTTGATCAATGATACAAAGGCAACAACTATTCTGGCTTCAAGAGGTGATCGGTGGCGAAATTGTTCAAATTCCAGCAGTTTGGGATTGATTGGTTTTAGGTGCTGAATTGATTGAAGAAATGCGCATTAAGAGAATGGACGAACAAGTCGAGGAGGAACATCGAATATTGGAAAAGATCAAAATCAAAATGGACCGAATTAAAGCCAACCAACAGAAAATACAAGGTGATAGAAATATTCTCAACAACCAATTTAACTTTTACCCATTTTGAATCATTCCTTGTTTACGAATAATGAGTAGGAATAATGCTAGACTTTTGGCAAGCATTTACAGATTGCATAAAGACAATCACTAAATTTAGACATTCGCGCTCTACTAACATAAACTAATTTTGAAGAACATGAGCTTTTTTTAATGGAGTTTAAATAGTGTGTGATTAGGATGATTTTCGTGCCCTATTTCAAGAAAAATAGAACTTGTAACTAAGAAAAAGCTACGAATGTTTTGTCTTTTGTTGTTCTTCCGCTATGTATTTGTATCGTCTTTCCTTGATAAACTTTGCAATATTGCTACCTTCATTGTTTTAGTAAACATGTAAACTTGGTGTTGGATTTTCAACTAAATCTATTGCAATCATGACTGGTGGGAAAAATAAATCACGACTGTGTAAAGATACAAGATATATTTTGATAATTTGCAACGTAAGACTACTGAATAAATTAGTATCTATTTGCGGGGGTAGTCTAAGCACTCAAGGTGTTTGTAAACTAATCGTTTATCTAATTAATTAAAGCCATTGATGTTTAACTCACTTTCTGCGTTTATCGCTGCGATTTACTTCAACTATTATAGTCTCCAATTTAGCTCAAATAAATTGGGTTGTTGCTGTTTCTATTGCCATAAATTGCGGATAAGTTTGCTCAAGGTTCCCACTTGATCGACTAGGGGCAAACGACAGTGAGCTCTAACTCATGTTTGGAATACCCTGTACGTTTGCGTTTTATGATTGGTTTATTGGATTTAAATAAGGAAGTTCTAGTAGCTTTAATGACCATACATGATAATACAATTCTGTTCTGATTAACTTTCCCCGCTACATTTAGCCAAGCCGCCGTTGGCCCGAACTTGTTCTGAGTCGTCTTGCACATCGGCAACAACCCAAGGTACGAACCCGACCGGCTACCACACTCCTATCGAGGAGGAAGATGAAGAGGTGCCTCCATTGACGCCTCGCTCCTCAACAATCGCGCCTCAAGCGCCTCCATCGCCCTATTCGGCAGTGATGACCGTGTCCCTGGAAGCCTACCTTGAACCGCAGCGAATCTCGTTTTCTTCGCCTCCCAATTCCGACCTCAATCCGCGGCCCGCCTCTCCTGATGAGAGTTTTCCGGTGTTCTCACCGCCTCCCTACGACGAAGCTCCTCCCTATGCTGAAGCGGTCAGTGAGCCACCCAGAGGCCCGGTTCAACGCCAAATCAGTCTCGGGCCTCCTTGGCTGCAGGGCAGTTTGGTGACGCCTCGTCAAAGTGTGATTTCCTACTCTACTCGATCTCATTTCAGTCATCATGAGTGTAATTTGCATTGTTTTCTAATCGATGTTAGATGCGGCGTATATTTGCTTGGAGTGTGCCTGTCTTGTGTATAAAGGCAGATCTAAGGAAGCTTGAAAGGTTTTTCCAAACGTGGTTTTCTTCAAGTTGACGCACTTTCAGGCTTCCTTTTACAAACACTTGGTTTCCACACTGTACAGTGTAAATACATAACAATGTTTTATTATTTTGCAGGTTTACATTGTCTATTCTGTACTATTTCATGTGTATTTCTTTATTGTAGATTCAGTTTTAGAACGTACCGCAATATATCGAAGAACGCCGCCTAAAACGTATAAACAGGGTAAATGCCAATCTCTAATAATTATCTAAAATAACGTTTTATGTAAGGTAGACAATGTGTACTTATAATTTGTTCGACCTGGTATTTTTTGAATTCTTATTAGATAGTCGCAGGATATAAGGGGAGGCTCACATGAAAAGTACCAATTTAAAGTTTGCATTTCCAGTATCTAATAGGGTTGAAATTTGTGGCTTTTTTGTCTATCGGTTCCCCTCACCTTTGATTAGTAAATAGCACACAGATTAGTCAATTATTTACCACTGATTAAATTGCACATTGTCATATTGTGGGGCTGTTTTAATGCATGCTTCCTATGTGAGAAGGAAAACTTATTTGCTGTTTTTGCACTGTTTACAAGTGTTTTGTTCAATTTAACAACACCATGCAACGCTCTTTTTAACTGGCATTTGCTTTTTTCTGCTGTAACAAAGCTTTTCAAAATCGATCATATTCAATATGTTAAGCTAACTTTTTGATGAGGTTGATTAATTGTTTTAATACATACACTTGCAGTGTACAAGCTTTCTTTCTCTGCTTCTCTCTTAAATGCGTCAGCAATCTGCATGCCTAGAACATACAAACGGTTTAAAAACTATCTGTTTGTCTCTGTGCATCGGTTCTTTCCACTTAATCTGCCCTGTTATTCCGAAAAGGAATGTAGTGTATAAACCAGATGCATTTAAGTGCAATTCACTGAAACCATTAATTGTTCCTGATTTATCAATTAAACAAGGATTTTTTCACTTTTGCACAACCAATAAAACACACCGGCTCCGGGATGGTACTGATTGCTTGGTAAATTTATGCGATTTTTAGTGCGCTAATTGCACCTAATTAATTTGCTTTCAACTAAACAATGTGACATCGATTGAGACTATTGCATTGCGATGTGCTGGCAAACAGGAAGTTTTATGAACTGAAATCCATTGCACGAGAATAATTTCTTTTTTCTTATTAGCGATTCGTTCTGGCGATTATTACATGTTCGATGAGCTGGACGATGATGAATTGGACCTGCTACCAGAGGAAACCAGAGAAGACGATGAACAATCTGATATGCCTACCATGGGAGAGGTGAGCAAAGCGTTTTTCGTTTGTTATCTATTTGGTTGAGGATGGAAAGTGTCTTTGGTAGATGCATTTTTAGTGGGTGATACATAAACTCTTACTTCTGATTTATTTTCCTGACTGCGTGTACTTGTTATGATATTCTTATCTTTCCTGGGTCTCAGTCAAAATGTGAAGTAAACATTTTGAACATCGTTTATTTGATTACGTTTCGGCGAGACAACAGCGCCATCATCAGATTTAAAATTTACACAAACTCATGATTGGTAAAAATCAACGTTCTTTTAGGTCTTTGCCTTCTTGAAACCTTAAATTTGTCTCTCTCGCAGTGTAAATTTTAAATCTGATGATGGCGCTGTTGTCCCGCCGAAAGATAAGATTATCATAAATTCTTACGTTAACTATACAAAAGAAGAAATACATTTTGCTGGTTGTTAGAAAAGGGTTTCATTCATTCATTGAGATTTGGCATTGGAGGTGTTTTGGATGGTTACATGGTATTCGCTCATTTTCATCATTATTTGCACCACAGTATAACGTCTGCACTTTACCAAAAAAACATTTATTTCATCATTTCAAGAAGATCTCTTGGCCTTAACTAAACTCGCTAGGCAATACGGCAGCTGTTTTACTAGAGACTTTGATATTTGTTTTTAATTAACGTAGACAAATGGGTAAGATTTTGGTTTTCTAATGTGAATTTATAGTTTTTGAATGCTGCTATAAAAACTGACATGGCTACGGTATTGCGGGAACGACGCAAAAGCATGAAAAGACGGTCGAGCGTGCCACTTGCTCGAAAAAAATCTGCACGATCCACCATGTCAGCCCCATTGCCTGCTCCTACAGTGAGTTACTAATGGGATTTTATCTACGCCTTGCCTAACTTTCTCGTAGATCGCTTGAACTAGCCTTATGTGTTTTATCCACCTGTATATTTTGTAATCCTGTTGTAATTGATGATGATATACAGTGAGTCCCAGAGTGCGTGGATGAAGGTGGAGAATGATTACCAACTTTATTTGATTGAATTGATTATAAAGCTAAACAAATTCAAGATTTTCTAGGGGTGTCTAGGCCTGAAAAGGGATAGAATTCATTCAGTCGCCAAAAAAGTTAGACTTTCGCGGCTACTGCTTGAAAACAACTTTTTTTTTTACAAAATATAGAAGAGAAAAGTTGTTTCATCTCAGAATCTGTATACTTACTTATAAATGTTTGTTTCTGAACAATAAATAATCTATGTATCTTGAACAATAAAAGTATATTGAAAATAAGACACTTCTGATGTAGGAATTTGCTTATAAAGCACTGCCTAGAGCAGTGGTTACTGGAAAAATGAAAAGCGTTGGTATTTTTTCAAATTTGGGTACATAATGCCYTCTAAAACACGAAATCAGTCCTTTTTCCTCAAGCATTCACACATTTTTGAGGCTCGCAACSCCTGCTGCCCCTATCCCAAGATACACTGAAAAAATGAAAATTCCACGAGTGAAAAACTCAAAATCGAGCGCTGAATCATCACATGCTGTAAATATTAGGGGCTTACTTTCTTTAAGTGCTGCACGTAGATGGATTGATATTATTATCCGCAACGCCAAGGAGCAGAACTTCAGAAAATTGCTTGCTTGTGAGCCTTGGTAGGGTTTTTTTTTGTTTAATATAGAAATCATCAACGACTTACCTTGATTGTTGACAACAAACATTAATATTTCAATGTGGCAACTCACCTGAATTAATTTTAAGCACTTTTTCAACCTTTCTGTCGTCTATGTTGGCCCTTAAATCTGTAACATCCAATTTCTGATTGCATCCTGTTTGTTTAGCTGGAGGAACCGACATCCAAGAGTGTTACAATCAAGGAAGAGCCTCAACCCAGTACCAGCAAAGATGAGGAACTGAGCGAACTGGCAGCACCAAGTGAGTTAATAAAAGCGCGCATTTAAAGGCGTTGATACCGGGAAAAAACTGGCAAACACTAAAAGTTTTATAGAAATACAACGCATTTGCCTAAGTCCCGTTGTTTACCAGTTCGCAAATGTTAAGCCGCCCATTATTTCAGACCCCCCAACTTTAACAAATTACCCGCCATTAGTATACTATAACTACTTAAACGAAAAACTAAAGATTTCTTACCGTAAACAAAACAATTCCATTTATTTTTAACTTTGAGCCGCCCGATTATTGGAAGTTTCCAATCTTAACTTGCTGGTGATCAAGAAGGTTTTTCATAAAGATCCATAAATCCTGTGGAATCGAAGTGCCGCATTTATTAGCGAACTTTTGTTTATTTCAGGAGACTACAATCTGTTCCAGAAGTCGGTTCACTGGATTGTTTTTATTTGGGCCTTCATCGAGAGCGGCATGATGAGCTTGACTCGGTTCCTCAATAGGTACTCGAGGGACTATCGGTATGTCCTTAAAACCCTGGGAAAGGAGCGAAAAATGCTTAAAGTACGTAAATAAATCGATTTTTTGCATCGCAATAAGGAAAAATAGCAAGTTTCAGAGGCTAATAATTTTTTTGCGTAGTTAAGGATGTGTTTGATGATGATGCGAATGGATGAAAGGACGCAAATTATAACTGATCCTTGGAATTTTACATTTGTTTACTATTGAGTATTCTGTAAGGGCGGAGCACTGGAATTCCCGCTTATAAAAATTTTTAATAGGAACGAAGGAGCACGTTTGTCGAGAAAATAATTTTTGATATTGAGCTAAACAAGCCAAAGCAATGTTTATTCAACTACACGATCCATTGAGCGATGGTTTTCCGAAATCAATGGTGAATAGTTGGATTTTTCAGCTTTCGGCCTATCAACCGTTTATATTCGCAGTCGTTTAAAGTGTTTTTCTTCGAATTAGAGCAACAAATATGTTGGACGGAAAACTCTGAGCAAAGTGCATTTTCCTTTGCATTAAAGCCGCAAATCTGTGCCGAATCGCCCCCGTTGGTTGAACTGAATCTAGTAATCACGATCCATTTTTTTAGGAAAGTACCGACTATGATTTGGGTGTACGTTTGGGTTCGAATCAACTGTGGCAACCGGCCGGATCCTTCCACGACTTGATGAGACAATCCACGTAAGTTAATTCTTCGATCAGTTTCCGTACATTGAAACGTAGATTTGAGAGTGGTTGGTTGAAAGCACCCAAATTGATAGTGTTTTAGGCATAGTGTAGAACGTAGATTTTTTTGATTGGCTAGCGAGGATTCACCTGCCTCTTCGGTAATGGGGGTGTTCAGCTCTGCAGATTCGTTTAGGCGGGCAATGCTCGCTGAAAGGTCTGTCGTTTTTTCCAATAACATCATTCTAGATAAGTTCTATATTGTTGAGGCGGATTCATTTTTTTACAAACTTCTTTTTGGGTATTTCGCCTCAAAAAT